CCCCAAGAAAAACACGTGCGATTCTCAGGGGGACGGAAGACTATTCTATCGTGAATCCCTTATCTTCTGTTTCACATGCTGTATTCCACGTTATATTCGAAGACAGCGACAATTAGCCTTTTGTTTCTATTTGCTTTCATTTGTGTGTTTTCATTGGGAATGCCATATTATCCAACTGTATAGTTCTGGATTTATAATTGTTTTGCACAAAGACATGAATCCAAAACGAAAGAGAGTAGGTAGTACAGTGTGACTTGTTGGTGAATACTTTCTTTTGAAAAGTGGACTAAAATCTGAGCTTGAAGTCTGAGGGAATAATAAATGGCAGTAAAGCTACAAAAGTAGATACATTGTGTACGTTAATATGACTTACTTACTGAAACTGTGGAAATTGCGACAAAACCGTTTCCCATTGTTGATCAATCCATAATAAATATTTGTCATATTCTTCAATGCCTTCCCCCAACCCCACCCTCACTCCGCTATGCACCTGTTTGATCATTGTTTGCTTTCTCCTATTACAGACAAGCTATGCCCAGCTGCTACAGACGAGCACGGACGAGGCCAAACGTTCTATTTTCCTAGAGCTCACCAAGCTTCTACAGGCCTCCCTGGAGTTGCTGAGAGGCAAACAGAGCCTCCACTTCACCGCTCTCTCCACAGTCAACCGCATCATGGACATCTGTGTTGTCAACAAGAGCTACGAGTTCGGATCCCAGCTGCATCGAAGCGACGTCGACCACCACGGCTTTGGTGGGGATGGTCCCGAGTTCGTGCCAAGCTCCAACGTGAAGACCTCTTCCTCTAAAGACCACAGCTCGTCTTCCGTCAAGGGCGCTTCTTCGGGAGGTGGTGGTGGGCGGGACTACCAACCTGTCAGATTCCAAAGCCACGCCCATCCTCACACAGGTTTGAGCAGTAGGCTGGCGTGTGTGGAGGATACCTCAGCCTCCCCTGGATTTATAGGCTCCTCCCCAAGAAGTCTGTCACTTTCGTCTCCGCCAGTGGCAGCATCTTCATCCTTCACCTCTTCTTCTGTTGTTCCTGGTGCTAGCGGAGTAACCGTGTTCTCCTCTTCCTCCACCTCCTCCCCTCCCGGCAGCGGTACTTCCACCACTGTGACGTGTTCCTCCACACTCAACCGCATCTCCTCCCTCCACAAACGCCGCGCCAGCCAAGCCACCCATGACCATCACCAGCAACAGCAGCAGCAACAGCAACAGCAACAGCAACAACAACAGCAGCATCAGCAAAACGGGGCAGAGGATGAAGACGCCGGGAAGTCTGGCGCGGCTGTGATACGGACGCCTCTTGAGATCCTGCTGTCTTTAGACCCCAGCCAAATCGTGTCGTGTCTTCACAACAACATCACCATGCACAAACGGATTATTGGCACCAGGCAGAAATGCACGCCCAGTGTGAGGCAAAGGCACTGCACTCACCACTGCCTTCAGATCCTCAGTGCAAGAGTTCTCACTCTTATGTGTCACAGTGCGCATGTGCAGCACAAGTTGGTTACAAGGGGCCATCTCAAGAACCTTGTAGAGGCACTGGATCCTAACCATGACCCAGTAAGTATGGTATTAAATGTATTATATTTGACACTGACACAAAGCCAACACCTTGTGTTTTTGTTTTTGTTTTTTACCCGATTGACCTTTGGGATTTGACTATACCATGTTCTTCCTTCTTTTAATTTTTTTTTTGCTTTTTGTCTTACATGTTGTATGTAACTACCCCCCCCCCTCCCCCCCCAAAAATATCTCTTAATAAAAGGCAAACGAAATAAACAGCAAAAACGTCCATAAGATTCACACACCCAAAAATACCACACACACATACACACATACACACACACACACATACACACATACACACA